CCCCTTTCTTAAAAAGCGAAGACAGCCAAGGGAGAGGAAGAAGAGTGGACAAGCCGTTGGATGGGCCGACGTCATCTCCCGGTAATTCGGCGTAAAATAAAAGTCAAAAGTAGTCGTGAATGAGTTATCAGCGTTATCTAATATGCGATCTTTCAATCATGTAACTAAGGTCATCAATTTGCTCCCGACCACCCTCCGCTAGTTTCTTTTCTTTGGGAAGGGCTGGAGTTTTTGCTTTGTTTCTCCTCGTACTCCCTGCGCTAAAAAGTCTCAGGACTGTTAGTTCAATAGTAGAACGTTTATACAGCCAGTGCTGTTAAGCAATTCAAAAAAGACAACAACACAGTTCGTGAAACGACATTTTAGCAACCAATTAACTGACGTGGCAAATAAAATTAAGAACAGCTTGTCAACTTCATAAGGATAAATAGAGGGCACCCGCACTAAAGATATTACAAGTCATTTGATTTTTAAGTGGTTTCAGTTGCACATATTAAGACGCTGTCCAAATTGGGATTTGCCGGTGAGACCACAGAGGTCATTGAGCAGGAATTAGAGGTGCAAAAGCAGCCTTGCTGCCGAAGATGTCGAAACAGCATAGAAATTCTGCAAAAACCTTGCGGGATACAAATTTTTTACTTGTATATTTGAATAGCCTAATTTTCTTGGTAAAACCTTTTGTGAAGTACGTGAATGCGTTCTCTTGTTCCTCCAACCGCTTATACTCCGCGGGTTCCCGGCAAATACCACTTTGAACTATGCCTGATACGTCACATTTATAAAAGTTTGTTGAAAAAATGGAAGGGACTAGTATTGCAACCCTACTATCACTACGATATCGAAATCCACCACGAACAAGTTCACTTAGAACACTCATAAAGCTCAATTTTCTTTACTTATTAAGTGAGACCAGGAAAAAAACCTATTGACAACCGAATCGCATAATTCTGCCAAAACGCAACAAGTGAAGAACGAAGAAGTCACCTGGCAATAATAAGCATAAGAAAAATTTCTACAGCAAATTAGGCGATCATTAAAAAGACAGCCTATACGAAAGACGGTAGCATCAAATACGTTTTCATTAAAACAAATGAGTAAATAATTCGGGCCGTTGCTGTCCAGCATAGTTAGTGGCGACCATTAAAAGGGACTAGATGAAATTAGCTTTCATAAAGGTTACATAGATACCTCTCAGAAAACAAGGCTTTTACAAGAACAAATAAAAGTTTATTCACATGTCCAATATGATATGTCTGAAACTGTTCAAAAAAAGGCAAAACCTGAGCTAACACTGGTTGGTAACTACCATACGTTTTCATTGAACGCAGTTCTTTCGCTGCCGCAATACGACTGTTCAAAACCGGGGCGTTTGGCGTACTCCTTGGCGGCTGGTCTGGTGAAACTGTTTGTTGAGTCAAGTAAAGCTGCATTACTTGACATATTAATCGAGTCCTGTAATAACAAGTCAATGT